CCTGCATCGGCAGGCGGACTCTCAAGCACTGCGCCACCAGGGAAGCCCTGAGGAAAATATTTTCAATGGTTTCTTTTGTGTCCTTCCAGAGTTTCTTTACGCAAATATAAGCAAATTCAAATATATATACTAATACCCCCTTTTTAACATCAAAGATATGCTAAAAACCCTGTTCTATACGTTGTAATTCATGTTAATTTAAAAGTATGTATGTATTTGGCTGAGCACATAGCAGTTTTTTAGAAAAATGACTTAAAAATCATAATCCTTTTGTGAGTTTGATTTTTTAACTATCATGTCCTTTTCTGCCTCAGGTGGAACAAAATTGGGCCACGTTACAAGGAGGTGAGATGACCATCCAGACGACACAAGCATCAGAGGCTACCCAGGCGGTGGCATCATTGGCAGAGGCTGCAGTGGCAGCTTCTCAGGAGATGCAGCAGGGAGCCACAGTCACCATGGCACTCAACAGGTGGAGGCAGGGGTGGGCGATAAAAGAGGAGGTCGAATCTGTCCCTGTATACAGATGTAAAGAGAAATGTTGTACCTCAGTTTGTCACAATTGGCATTTGGAACTTAATACTCTTAACCCATAGGATACTGTAAGTTGTTTTATAATCAGCCCTCACCTACTGCATTCCCATCCTATCCCATCCCCAGCAACCAGTCCAGCCTGACTTCCAGCTCAAGCCTTCTGGTCAAGGGACATGGGTCCCTTTTGCTTTATCCTATTCTGTGCTCCTTAACAGACCAAAAGCAGCAAGATGTAAGTACTTTGTGTTTTTAAAGGGACCAAAGGATGTAATAAAAAATCAAGAAGCTTCAGGATTGATTTTCCTTTTATCCTAAGAAACTGCTTTTTGTTATGGCTATTAATCCATGTTTTAGCTGGTCAGGAGCTGACTTTACTGACTTTCAGTAAATTTGTTTCCCTTGCTTATCAGTGACTTCGAAATAAACTAAGTTTTGGATTATTGGGAGAAACTGAATTTTTTTTCTTCAGATATGTTTAGGAAGGATACTGCAGAATGGAGTACTCTAGTAAGAGGTAATTTCCAAAACTAAATTGTTTTGTTCTGTGCTTGGTTCCTTCTATTTGTTGTTGACAGAAAAAAATCGTCCCCGTATTATTATTCTTGTTGTTCATTGCTTACACAATTTTATTTTCAATGGACCCAGACATTTTAACTAATGGTTAAGAGTGTGTGCTTTGAAGCCAGGCTACTTGGGTTTGAATCCCAGCTCTGTCACTTACTAGCTGTTTGACCTTGGGTGATTTACTTGAGCTCAATGCCAAGGCTTTCCTCTATGTAAAATGGTGGGGGGAGGGGGGTAAAAACAGTGCCTGCTTTGTAGGGGTGCTGTGAGAATGGGAAAAGTCAATGCATGTGAAATCCTTAGTTCAGTGCCCAGCATATGGTAAGGTTGCTGTTAACATGTGCAGCAGCTGTTAGCCTCAAATAGTCTTTGAACTCTTGAGACATGCCAGCACTCTACTGGGTAAGGCTGTAAATAAAGAATGCTCTAAGATATAGTGTCTGCCTTAAAAGAAATCATACTGTGAATGGGGAGATTGATTTAAGTAAAACACTTAGCAAACATATTACTCAGAGTGTAATTTACTGTCCAAATGTATGGTGTAGACTATGAACATAATAGGAATTCAGAGTAAGGGGATCACTTCCTCCAAAATATAAAAATCAGCTGAAGTTTAGATTGGCTGTGGTAGACACTAGAAAGCCTTGATAGGCTTATGTACAGAAGATTTCCATCAGGCTGTATAGTATAGTGGCTGAGAAGAGGGTTCTGAGGTCGTATAGATTCAAGTTTGAATCCTACCTCTGCCATTTAGTTGCCATTTGATCTTGAGAAATTTAACCCCTGATCATTAGTCTCATCATCATTATAATAAGGATAATTTTCATCTTGTAGAATCATAAAGATTCAATGAAATGATGTATATAAAACTCTCATCAAAGTGTCTGGCCTGTAATTAGCATTTCAGGAATTATACTTATTATCATTTAACTTATATTTTAAAATTTGTCTACTTAGAATTGTTTACAGCAAGAAGAGATTAAAAGTAGAAGGCCAGTTAAGAAGAGGCAGTCCAGGTATGACTTGTCAAAGGCGTGGAAACTAGTAGTAAGAGTGGAGATAAAGTGACTGATTCTGAAGGAAGTATGGTCAAGACTTGGTGGTTGGTCAGGTATAAAAAACTGAAACATACACAAACGCTTCTCCTTCCAGAGTTACCAGTGAGTCCCTGAGTGACCTGGGATAGAAACTTTTTTCTTAGCCCATTGAACCATATCACTTTTCAGTAACATGAAAGTCTTACTTGATTCCTTACACTTTGACTCAATCCTACTTGTACCTTTGAGAGAGGACACACAGATAAACTTCCTGAAAGCTATGGCCAGAGTGAAACCCTCCTTCCTTTTGGTCCGGTAACCCCTCACTGTAGCGTGGGGTCTAAAAGTCCACCATCAAAGACCAGAAAAACTTCATTTCATCAAGCCAGCACCTTTGCTATTCCAGTGAAGTGGGAGTGTCCTGGGAACCCTGTACATAGTGGAAAACATGAGGCACATTCTGGCTCTCTTTAGTGTAAGAACCAGGGCTTATTTCTAAAGGCAAGGAGGGTAATGGTTTCCCCTGAGGGCTTGTTAACAAACTCAGATGCAGCTGAGGTGACTACAGTGTTTAGTCCAAAGGAAGAATATGGTTCACTGTGGCATGTAGGAGTAAAGAGATGTTGAAATCTGTTTGCAATCAGATAGTTCAACACCCCGATGAGTGTTGTGGGATGGTGTGTTGCAGCCTCTGCTCAGAGTGAAGAAACCAAGCCTGGCAGTGAAGACTAGACTATAGCAGGCTACTAGGGGAACATCATGGGCTTCTAATTCCAGGAGCGGTAACCCACTGTCTAATGTCAGGAGGATTGGACTTAAGACACAAGCCCTTTGTGTTTGCTTCTCTATGAGATGAGACCCATTCCCAGCCTCTCCAAAGAATTCGTTGCTGGAAGTCATCTTAGTGAAAAGTACTCTGCGAATCGGGTCTTTGTTCCTGTGGTAACAAAACGATTTCCTAGAGCTGCTCCCTTCCAGCCTCTCTTTTTCAGGTGCAGATGGAACAAGCATGGTTCTCTAACAATCACCTGCACCTCTGCTGCACTGTAAACAGCAGATGTGGGTGCAGAGCAAAGAGAGAGAGGCAGGCTACATGGAATGGCAGCTGGAGAGCAAGAAGGCAGAGGGGTTCTCTCAACTGTTGAGGGGAAAGGGGATCAGGACAGGTGCAGGACAGACCTTTTTTTCAACCATGCTGTTAAAAGAATTTTGTGTAGCAAGTTAGAATGAGGGCCCTGGGCTCAGACAACCTGTAGCCCCACCCTCCATACCCAAAAGGGGTATGGAGAAATTGTCATTTAAAAATCTAGAAGCTAGTTAATTTTAATTATTTTCAAAATACAGAATAAATTAACACTTTTAGGAAGGAGATGGAGAGAGAAACAAAGTGAACAAATGAAAAGCAGAGCGTCACACCTCAAAAAAAAAAGACCTGTTCACCCTGAACAACCAGACAGGAAAGGAAATGAAATCATCATTTGCTTGTTGCAATACAGTGATTAATTTGAAGTTTCAGGTCGTTGGTTAAGTTGTCCTAGACTTACATTCCCTCTTACACAAGTCCTGCAAAGCCAGTACAGTCCTTGCACATAGAGACAGATACATGATAAATATTGGTAGACTGAATCTACATTTGCTCTGGTAGAAATTTATGCGATGTTGTTGACAGGAAGACAGTTTTTACTGAGTGTCTACTGTGTGTAGTGCTGTGACTCAATGCTATGGGGAAACAAATGCTCAAGAAAGTTAAGAGTTGCTGTTTGTTTGCTGTGAAGAGAATTTGCTTAAAGAAAAGAAGTGAATCATATTTTTAAAGAAAAATTTACTCTTACCATTTTTTTTTTTTTGGCGGTACACGGGCCTCTCACTGTTGTGGCCTCTCCCGTTGCGGAGCACAGGCTCCAGATGCGCAGGCTCAGCGGCCATGGCTCACAGGCCCAGCCGCTCCGCTGCATGTGGGATCCTCCCAGACCAGGGCATGAACCCATGTCCCCTGCATCAGCAGGCGGACTCTCAACCACTGCGCCACCAGGGAAGCCCAACTCTTACCATTTTTTAAAATGAAAATACTGACTTAAAATGAGAGATCTTACTAAAATAAAACATGGCTTTAATATATGAACTTGTATTTATTTGTCCAGTAACATGGGATGGACAACCTAGATCAGAAATCCTCTCTGGAAATAGAGGACAGGGACTATGCAACTGCCTCTTTTTCCTATAGGTGAATGTTGGACACTTGCAGGTAAAACGTTGACAGGAAAAAGGAGGGGGGGCTTGTTAGAAACTTCTCATTTGTAACTGGTTTGGAAATGACTTTTGTCGAAAAATTGCTAAGTGGTAGCTTAGAGACATTTTGATCCCTACTCACCTTTTAAGTGAAGGTGACCTTTTTCTCGCAGTACAGTTTGATCACTTCCCATGAAGTCTAATGGTTAGAATAGACTTGGGAATGATAGTCTGCTGACCACAGGCGTCACCATTTTCTTTTGCACCATGTAAAACATCCATCCATTGCTGCTTTGCCCCTGGCACCTGAACAGGGCATGCAGTAACTAACCTCACCGACCTGTGGACCTGTCATCCCTGTCGGACCCCTCATCCCTGGCATCCCAGATTGCTTTAGTTGTTGCTGCTTCACAGCTTTTCTTCCAGCATAACATATTTTAGAAAGGTACTAAAGAAAATGACTTCAAATATTTAGAGCTTCAGACATTATAAAATGGGTATGACTGGATACAGGGACTCTTCTGGGTCAGGGCTTGGGTGGCTGCTCTCCCCCTCATAGCCTGTGAAATTTCACACTGCAAGCATGTGTCCAAGAGTGGCAGGACATCACCTTTGATGGTCATAGAAATAAGATTATTGTAGATTGTGATAAAAACAGTGGGGAAATGAGCAGTTGCTGAGGTAACCTGTAAACACAGCTCCTATTTCCATATAAACAGTTCTCATATACCAGCTTTCTTTTTCAAAATACCACACAGCTGAAGCATTTTCCAAAGAATATCCTTTTTGGCTTTCCATGAAGCCTCAGGTCAGAGTGTTAAATACTTTTATCGTTAATCCGTGATAGCTGAACACTGCAGAATTGGCTGGTAATATTATTTGACACAAGTTTCTCAGAAAAATATTAAAAGTTAAGGGTCTAGGCACTAAATAATCATTCGTTTTACTATCTCTAATAAATAATTATAAAGCATCCTAAAATTAAAATCTACCTTGTAAAATGTAAAGAATAGCCTTAGTAGTAATTCCAGATCAAGGGTCCACTTTGGCTCTGAATTCGTGTTACAGATACTATGGAATGACTGGCTGTGGGTATCACATCTGAAGTACGTTTTAGCACAGAGATTGATCTTAGCTTTTAAAGGGGCTGCGTGGAAACTCTATGATTCTGTTCAGCTTTTTGCTCAACCTCAATTCGTCCCCAAATTTTTTATAAAGGAAGTAAATAAATTTGAAATATGTAATCATGATGTTGAACTAAGTTAAAGGAAGCCTGGAAATTAAAAGTTACCACAGCTGAACAACTAGAAAAGGGGGTGGGGGGAATCAGCAGTTTTACATTTAACTTATTCTTTTGAATAAATGTCAAAGAATATTTATATGGGGAAATACCAAGTTAGGTAAGAAAAGCAGGCTATAAAACTGTGTGTACAGTATGATCCTGATTATCTGTTTAAAGTTGTGTTTAAGATTAGAAGGAGGGGGCTTCCCTGGTGGCGCAGTGGTTGAGAGTCCGCCTGGTGATGCAGGGGACACAGGTTCGTGCCCCGGCCCGGGTAGATCCCACATGCCGCGGAGCAGCTGGGCCTGTGAGCCATGGCCGCTGGGCCTGCGTGTCCGGGGCCTGTGCTCCGCAACGGGAGAGGCCACAACAGGGAGAGGCCCATATACCACAAAAAAAAAAAAAAAAAAAAGATTAGAAGGAAAATAGCTCTTATCTCTGCATGACATTTAAAAATTTTCTTTTATACTTAATGAATTTTTACAAGTTTCTACATGCATTTTATTATCAGAGAAAAATAACTTTTTAAACACACACATAACAATTTAAAAAGCAAGGCAAGTTAGCAAGAAGGGGAGAATTTTCTATTTAATGAGACTTTTCTGTCCATTGGACTTCTTAAACTGCTTCCTAACATCCTTATAGTGACCAAGAAGTCTTCCCCAGAAGAATGATTATGTCAGTTGCTTTACTTGTTTGCTGACTCTCTTAGATGAAAGTGACGCTGTTAAGTTTGATACACATTGCTTTGCCCACAGTTGTGACACGTTTGCCCTAAACGGTCCACAGCCCCCCCACCCCCCGCCCCATCCTCCCCTACAGCTTGTTTTTGCGAGATGACTGCCATAGTTGTGGCAAAGTCTGCAGCTTCAGAACAAAGCTGAATCAACTGGCTTATTCGGTGTCAAACCCAGGACTTTGTCCACCTCTGATAAACTAAATGACGCCACCTCCTCTTCTCCATGCCCACTTTTGATACTCCCTCAGTAACTGTGCATAGTAGTACCTGGTACTTTCCCAGGAGAGGTGATGAATTTATCTGGTGGGTTCTTTTTTTCTTTTCTTCCACATTTTAACATCTCTGACGTTTGGATGGTAAACTATAATCTTACGATTACAATTGTCAGGAACTTTTTTTTTTTGTCTGTGCTGTGGGGCTTGGGGATCTTAGTTCCCTGACCAGGGATCGAACCTGGGCCCTGGCAGTGAAAATATGGAGTCCTAACCACTGGATCACCAGGGAATGCCCAGGAACTTTTCTTTTCTTGCTGGCACATGAAACAGTAATACATTTTATAGTTTGTATCATCATCGAATCAATAAAAGTGGGTATTTATGCATATAGTAAAAGCATACAATAAGGAAAAGAAAAATGGGATACAAACTGCTAGAATAGTGTTTACTATAAATAGATGGCTAATATCTTTCTGTTCTGCAGAGTGTTTGGTTTGCAGTGAAGGGAGGTTTATTATTTCATTATGTTTGTAGAGTCAAGGATTTTGGGCTTATAGTGATAATTTAAACTTTTAAGTGTTAATTTAGTTCTGCCTACATGTACATGAAGCAAAAGCAAGGGCTGAACTTTGCAAGATATTAGTCAACGATTACTTTGTATTTGGAATCATGGATGTAAACCAAATTTCTATTATTTGATATATTTTTATGTATCTTTTAAAAACTTTTTATTTTATATTGGAGTATAGTTGATTTACAATGTTGTGTTAGTTTCAGGTGTACAGCAAAGTGATTTATACATATACACATACCTATTCTTTTTTAGATTCTTTTCCCGTATAGGTTATTGCAGAGTATTGAGTAGAGTTATTATTTAATATTAATTGAATAGCAAGTCCAGGTTGCTGACTCCTCACATTATCATCCATCCTTAGCTATAAAAAGGCAGTTTCAGGGCTTCCCTGGTGGCGCAGTGGTTGAGAGTCCGCCTGCCGATGCAGGGGACACGGGTTCGTGCCCCGGTCCGGGAGGATCCCGCATGCTGCGGAGCGGCTGGGGCCGTGGGCCATGGCCGCTGGGCCTGCACGTCCGGAGCCGCGACAGGAGAGGCCACAATGGTGAGAGGCCCGCGTACCGCAAAAAAAAAAAACCAAAACCAAAAACAAACAAAAAGGCAGTTTCAGATGGTCTGCCTTGTGTTACCGTAAAGAGAAAAGAGAAAAAGAAAACATTGTGATTGACAACCAAAATGGCTTTTGCATTGTGAATATGGATCAGAGCTTCCACTATGGCTTACAAGGCACTCAATTGATCTTGATAAAGAAGGGACGGGGAATGCGTGCCTTCTGTCCTTAAACACCCATTTCCTAGGTTTAAAGAAAATCTCACATTAGCTGTATAAACGTGAAAGACTTGGGATTTCTCTAGCTATTTATTATTTCATTTAAAAATTGCTCTGATTCTGTCAATAGCCCTGGAATCCCTTATGTGCTGGTAGGCTCACAAACATGGAGTCAGTGGAGAGATCCTAGGAAAGGTTGAAAGTTTGGTTTGTCTTGCTGCAGTGCTATTCCTTTATTCAACTCATACATTCCCCCCTCCTCTTTCTGTACCCACAGCGAAGCTGCCGCCCATGCTGTCGCCACCCTGGCTGAGGCCACCTTGCAAGGGGGGGGACAGATAGTCCTGTCTGGGGAAACCGCAGCAGCTGTCGGAGCACTTACTGGAGTCCAAGATGCTAATGGTAAGAGAGCATAAATATTTTATTGAATTTCTTCCCTGTTTCCACTTAAACCTTCATGACATGACTGACAACAAGCCCTTCAGAATGAGGTTGAACTTTGATTTGAGTTTTTTTATATTGGTAGGCAACTGATGCCTAGGAAAATTCTAGGAGCCTCTGATTCCTTTCACTAGTAGGAGACTTGGGGTTTCCTGGGAGGGAAAAAAAGCCATAATAATGGCTACCTAACTGAATGATTTATTTGAAAAGTGACTATTTGCTGTGATAGTACTTGCTGAGAGGGATTTTTAAATTTTCCGTGGGGTACATTTTGTCCATTTTCTCCCATGGGGTAGATCAGTGTCTTTTACTATAGTAGAGACTCTCCTGTGGGCGAGTGCATTGTGGTAGCAAGGAATGTTCTGACTATCTCGAGAAAGGCACCACCATCTCACCACAAGGTCAGCCAGCAGGCTGTGATAAAGGCGCTTTTCTGATTGATGCTATGGGTTCTGCTTCCTGTTAAATGTGACCTCACCAAGGACCTCCGGATTGAGCCAATAACTTGCCACCACCCTGCCCTTCTTTCCCGGCTCTTTGACTTCCTGGATATTGGTGATATCCTGAATAAACAAGAGGGATAAAGTTCATAGAAATATGATGACAAAAATTTATAGCTCCAGCCCAGCTCTTTGGATCTACTTCAGCAGGCTCTGGGAGTCAGTAACGAAGTCTTGAACTGCCCGGGAGTGCCTCAAAAGTCTGAGTCAAAGAGGAAGACCAGTCCTGTTCTGTGAGACTCTGTGTGACTGTTTATTAAGCTTTTAAAATACACATATAATTAGGTTAAGTAGGACAAATTAACTACTCTATGGTTTTTGGAGATTTGTAGTTTAAAGTCCTGGAAAGAGGATAGATAACAACATACTTTTATTTAGGCAGACAGTTCCTTAATGGCATTTAGTGGCTGAAGGAAAAGTCCCTGGCACTTTTTTTAGGGTAGATCCCTAAGAACTAAATAACATGTTAGTTGGAAAAGTCTTTGAAGAAAGACACAATGTTGCATCCTCCTTCAAAAGTGGGGAGAAGAAAGCACTTCTGTCTCCCAGAGAAGAATAACAGGAAATGTAAAGAGCCATGTGGCTTCTGAGAATCATTTTCTTAAACAAAAAATCACATATTAAAACTGCAGCCTGCTTTTTCTGTAGGGCTAGGGGCTTCCATGAACTAACCCAAATAGAGATAAAGTTGCTCCTAGCCAGAACACTGCAAGGTAAAGGGCATCTTATAGCCATGTATGTTCAGGGTGAAATGGACCATAGTTGGAATTAAGGAAAACCTCCCTCTTTAGCTTGAATCCTACCCCTATTTCCTTATCTTTTTCTATTCCTCATTTCAGTCCTCATCTACCTTGAACAGAAGATATCTGACTGTGTGACATTCTTCTGAAGTGCAATTCCTGTTATTCACTATAGAACTACAAAAAATAATTCCCCGTGTGGGTTTGATGGGAGACTTTGTTATCCCTCTAGTGGTCTTGACCTGTCCGGGTGAGGAGAAGAGACTGCTTTATAGTTCTGGCTCCTCCCTAGCCTCACCTTTTCAGGTAGATGAATTTATAGGTAAGTGTAAGGACCCTCTGGGGCTCCCGCCAAGTAGATCTATTGAGCCATGAGATAAAGGTCAACCACACCACTACTGTTGATTCCTGGAAGCTGCTGCTTTTCAGTAGCTTGGGTTGTGTGAATCAGTTGTGTTGACTTCATGTTGTTGGCTGCATTTGTGATAAGAGAAAATTATGATCTACATCCAAAAAGCCAGTGGTTCCCCAAAGCAGACCATTCCCTAGTTTGTGACCTGCCAACATGTGTGAACTCAGACTTGAGAGTTGGATTTACCACTTTCTTGGTGCTATATCAAATCAGACTGTTGAGTTGTGCCTTATCCTAGTAATATTAGGTGAAGGCACATATCATGTCATCTATCCCTTGGGAATCCAGAGGATGAATCTAATATTGGATATGATCCAGGTAATTCTGATGCTCTTTCTGCCTTCTAGCATTTTTACCCAGAGTGCTATAGGATTTACTCTGGGACTTGGAACCAAAATATTCTCATTTAACCAACTAGTTTATCTGTCTGGAATTTCAAGGGTTCTTTTTTCATTATTCTTTCAGATTGTGTCCTATTGGCATTGTTTGCCACTTTTGTCATGACAAGCTTATGGTATCTGCCAGTAGACTAAATTTATTATCAGGAAGAGTTTATTATCAGGAAGATGATAGCAGAACAAGGTGCTATTTGGTAACAGACACTACTGGGGAAAAAAATACATCCCAGATTCCGGAATATGGCTTAAATAAAAATCCTTCTAGCCGCTGACTCTTCTAAGAACCATGTGGATATTGACCTGTTCCAACCTGAAGCAGGAGTTTCAGCATCTTCTGGGATGGAACTAGAGGGGATGGAGGACCATTGTGTGTGAAATAAAGCTTGACAGAGTACAGTAACCAATGTGAGATGGCTGGGGCAGTGTAGGCCAGTGGTTTTCAAGTTAAGGATAATGACACCTTCATGGCAGAAGTTTAAATTCCAAATTACCAAGGCAGACCTGACAAGAGACGTTATATCTGAAGACTTCTTTTTTCTGGACCCTATCTCACCCCAACACTAAAGAGACTACTCAAGCACTAGCATTACTCTATTTCATTTATGTTCTCCCTTTTTTTTTTTTTTCTCATTTTAAAATTTTATTTTTTAAAATTTGTTTTATTGAAGTATAGTTGACTTACAATATTGTGTCACTTTCTACTGTGTAACAGATTGATTCAGTTGTAATATATATACATACATTCTTTTTCATAATTCTTTTCCATTATAGTTTATCACAAGATATTGAGTATAGTTCCCTGTGCTATACAGTAGTATATGTTGTTTATCCATTCTCTATATAATAGTTTGCATCTGCTAATCTCAAACTCCCAATCCATCCCTCCTCCACCCCCCCTTAAGTCGGTTATCTTTTTTTTTTTAAAGTTGGCTGTGCTTTTATTAATTTTTTCTGATATTGAAGTTTGCAGTTGGCTGCAGTATTTTTTTTTCATTTTAACATCTTTATTGGAGTATAATTGCTTCACAATGGTATGTTAGTTTCAGCTTCACAACAAAATGAATCAGTTATATATATACATATGTTCCCATATCTCTTCCCGCTTGCGTCTCCCTCCCTCCCACCCTCCCTATCCCACCCCTCCAGGCGGTCACAAAGCACTGAGCTGATCTCCCTGTGCTTTGCAGCTGCTTCCCACTAGCTATCTACCTTACATTTGGTAGTATATATATGTCCATGCCTCTCTCTCGCTTTGTCACAGTTTACCCTTCCCCCTCCCCATATCCTCAAGTCCATTCTCTAGTAAGTCTGTGTCTTTATTCCTGTTTCACCCCTAGGTTCTTCATGACATTTTTTTTCTTAAATTCCATATATATGTGTTAGCATACTATTTGTCTCTCTTTTTCTGACTTACTTCACTCTGTATGACAGACTCTAGGTCTGTCCACCTCATTACAAATAGCTCAATTTCGTTTCTTTTTATGGCTGAGTAATATTCCATTGTATATATGTGCCACATCTTCTTTATCCATTCATCCGATGATGGACACTTAGGTTGTTTCCATCTCCGGGCTATTGTAAATAGAGCTGCAATGAACATTTTGGTACATGATTCTTTTTGAATTATGGTTTTCTCAGGGTATATGCCTAGTAGTGGGATTGCTGGGTCATATGGTAGTTCTATTTGTAGTTTTTTAAGGAACCTCCATACTGTTCTCCACAGTGGCTGTATCAATTTACATTCCCACCAACAGTGTAAGAGGGTTTCCTTTTCTCCACACCCTCTCCAGCATTTATTGTTTCTAGATTTTTTGATGATAGCCATTCTTACTGGAGTGAGATGATATCTCATTGTAATTTTGATTTGCATTTCTCTGATGATTAGTGATGTTGAGCATTCTTTCATGTGTTTGTTGGCAGTCTGTATATCTTCTTTGGAGAAATGTCTATTTAGGTCTTCTGCCCATTTTTGGATTGGGTTGTTTGTTTTTTTGTTATTGAGCTGCATGAGCTGCTTGTAAATTTTGGAGATTAATCCTTTGTCAGTTGCTTCATTTGCAAATATTTTCTCCCATTCTGAGGGTTGTCTTTTGGTCTTGTTTATGGTTTCCTTTGCTGTGCAAAAGCTTTGAAGTTTCATTAGGTCCCATTTGTTTATTTTTGTTTTTATTTCCATTTCTCTAGGAGGTGGGTCAAAAAGGATCTTGCTGTGATTTATGTCATAGAGTGTTCTGCCTATGTTTTCCTCTAAGAGTTTGATAGTTTCTGGCCTTACATTTAGGTCTTTAATCCATTTTGAGCTTATTTTTGTGTATGGTGTTAGGGAGTGATCTAATCTCATACTTTTACATGTACCTGTCCAGTTTTCCCAGCACCACTTATTGAAGAGGCTGTCCTTTCTCCACTGTACATTCCTGCCTCCTTTATCAAAGATAACGTGACCATATGTGCGTGGGTTTATCTCTGGGCTTTCTATCCTATTCCATTGATCTATCTTTCTGTTTTTGTGCCAGTACCATACTGTCTTGATTACTGTAGCTTTGTAGTATAGTCTGAAGTCAGGCAGCCTGATTCCTCCAGCTCCATTTTTTGTTCTCAAGATTGCTTTGGCTATTCGGGGTCTTTTGTGTTTCCATACAAATTGTGAAATTTTTTGTTCTAGTTCTGTGAAAAATGCCAGTGGTAGTTTGATAGGGATTGCATTGAATCTATAGATTGCTTTGGGAAGTAGAGTCATTTTCACAATGTTGATTCTTCCAATCCAAGAACATGGTATATCTCTCCATCTGTTTGTATCATCTTTAATTTCTTTCATCAGTGTCTTATAATTTTCTGCATACAGGTCTTTTGTCTCCTTAGGTAGGTTTATTCCTAGATATTTTATTCTTTTTGTTGCAATGGTAAATGGGAG